GGCGTTGAGGTGCTAACTGGTGAAAGGCTACTTATGAGTAGAAGGATTTTGGTGCATTTTTTGTTCGTCGCAATCAGCCGACAATTCAGATAAGTCAACTAGCTATCCGGAAAAACACCAGACGGCCGTTTCGCCCTATTGGAGCTCATCAGTGGTGCGCATCCTTCGGTCCTCTGCGGAGGATCGAACCCATGACTGCTAGTGGCTCTTGCCAACTAGCCCGCAGATTATGCGACTGCGCCATGGAGGACGGTATCCGACCATCACGAATTGTTAGCTGAATGCGATATAGCCCGACCCATCCTCCACTGCCATGCAGATGACAGCGGTTGGCCTTCCGGCGTCAGGACTTCCCGGTTACGGCAGCTATGAATCGACATAGCATTTTGTGGAATCCGTAAGGGCAAATTTGTATTACTTATGAGTGGAAGAATTTTAGTGAGTATTTTTGCTCGTCGCAATCAGCCGACAATTCAGCTAAGTCAACTAGCTATCCGGAAAAGCACCAGACGGCCGTTTCACCCTATTATGGCTCATCAGTGGTGCGCATCCTTCGGTCCTCTGCGGAGGATCGAGCCCATGACTGCTAGTGGGCTCTTGCCAACTAACCCGCAGCTTATGCGACTGCGCCATGGAGGATGGTATCAGACCATCACGAATTGTTAGCTAACAAGCAGTCATAGGCTCGATCCTCCGCAGAGGGCCGAATTGATGCGCACCACTGATGAGCCCCAATAGGGCACAACGGCCGTCTGGTGAACGGCTAGTTGATCTTGATTATGCGGACGATATCGTCTTACTTTTTAACTATGTTGGGGTGACCTAATCAACCCTGAACAACCTCTAGAGTAGTCCCATTATTTGGTATGCGCTTGGCACCGTCAAAGTGCGAAATGTTGCTGTAGATCCACTATCCACTTGTTGATCCATTGACCTTTGATAGCGAGGAACTCGATGTAGTTGATCAATTCACCTACCTTGGTAGTTGTTTTAGCAACAATAGGCACATAACAACTGAAGTCAATTCACATATTGCAAAAGCTAGAACTGCCTTCTTGAATCTGCGACTTCTTTGTCGACAGAAATGAATTTCTGTCTGAAGGGCCGTGGTTACAAGGCCACAGTGAGAGAGTGAGACTTGGCCGCTTCGGTCTGAATATCTGTGACACTTTCAAATCTTTGATCATCGCTGTCTGCAGAGCATTGCTAATGTCGGATTGTACCAGCGTGTCCGCAACGAAAATGTGCGTAGGTGAGTGCTAGGCAATGACACCCAAGCTAGTTCATTAGAACACCAGATAGCACTGAATAAGTTGTCTTGGCTTGGGCACGTATTACGTATGCCCGATCATGGCTAACCGAGGATCGCCTTGTTCTGCCTGCCAGATGTAGGATGCCGCTAGGTTCGAGATGGACAGAAGTTGACTTGGCAGCGGGAAATGAAGTTACTGATGACCAAACTCGGTGCCGTCGGTCTGTCTCACCTTCCAGGCTGGAGTCCACGTGACTCGTCTTGTACTTAGCTCGAGACTTTACGGAACATGATTCGCAGTCGGCACCAGTAGCATGTCTGTTGCCCTTTCCTAGTCGGATTGCCTGTTTAGACTGTGTCTGGTGCTTTGTTATCTGCGACGTAATGGATGATTATGACGCGGGGCAGTGAAAGTCGCAAGATAGCTGTCTCGCTGTTGTCGCCTTATCTTTGCACGATAGCCCTGTTTGCGATGGTATGTTGTTGGCAAGGTATGGGCGCCTTGACCCTGAATGTTTATTTAAGGCAGTAAGTTCACCTTCTCTCCCTTATTATTCTTTTCGTAGATCTTTGTGGTTGTGTGGCAGCGAAGCATCAGTTCAAATGACTGATGTACTCATGTTGATGATGATGATGACGATGATGAATGATTCACTTATTGGGGGTAGCGTACGAGGCAGTATGGATGCCAATAACTTGGAGGCAACCAAATTATACTAATCGGGACAGTTGTAGGGAGGCGCAACGCAGTGTTTGCTCGGTGAAGAGAAAGATCACGTAAACGGGGGCGGACGGTAACGGGAACAGGCGCAAGGAAGTAGATCCGACTGAGCCACCCTGACTTGACGGAACGAGACGAGAACGGGTCATGAGCGGCATCCGGTAGTGAGACTGAACCAGGTAGAACAAATAGGGTATTCGTCGAGAACGTAATAAATCAGACAAAAGCGCCGTTATTGCATATATATATATATATATATATATATATATATATATATATATATATATATACCCTATTCTGAAGCTGATGTTGCATTCTTAATGCTTCTTCACCGCAGTTGGGCTAAACCAACTTACACTTAAACTAGGTCTTTTTAAGCTGGATAAATTTCATTCCACTTTATTTGGTTTGTTCTACCTACCTGAATAATGTTCTATTAACTGGCCACGTTGCTTACACTAATTGCGCTTATCTTCGGTAATTTTGTTGCGTTTGTAGCATTTTAAGTAACTTGTGGACATTTCTTACTTATCGCGGATTCGTTGCTAACAAACTTACTTCATATGGTAATTTAGGGAAGAGTTATGCCACCGTATCTGTATGCATTATTGGATTTATTTTATTTCAGGTTGTCGTTTAAAGTGAATGGCTGTTGTTTGATATCCCCGGTGTGGCTGCGCTTGATGTGCATGTTGACAAGGTGCCTACCTGTCTATTACCAACTACCTCATCCATCTGGCTCCAGGAGACAGTTGTTCGTTGCTGGAGGGGACGAGGTGCACGGTCCTTGTGACCGTGTTAGGATCAAAGAGTGGTTCCATGCACTCAGTGTGGAGCGGATACGGTCCATCCACCGCCTTGTGTGCACTTTATTCCCCAAATACAGCGTGCTTGTGTTTGCCTGTGAAGGAGTGTAGGCCGGCTCCGTTGATGAAACGTGGCTCCCATCCGCATGTCTCCCAGTCTTATTCCTTCGGGTTTACACTGGATATGGGGTGTGTGAATGGGGCTGTGGGTGGTGCAGCGCAAGCCATCCATGGTCCCTCTGTAGGCGCAGGCGTCCTGTGGCTGGCCACAGCGACAGGCAAATCCGAAACCGGATGCCGCCAACCATATATGGGGTGGTTGTCCAGCTGCACTATTTAATGCATTAGAGAAACGCCAGGTATAGAAGCGACAGGTGCCGATGGATTCTAGCCCATCGATGTCAAGCGCATGATGCTGTGGCATATGCGGTCGCGAGTGCCTAAACCTCGTAAGCCATCAGCGTGGTCACGTGGGGCCAAACATCTAAGATGACTAGTAAGCTAAGTCATTCCTCCTCGTCAATACACGTTAGCTAAGGGTGAGAAACACGTCTTAGCTAATATGCCGCAATACAAAAAATAGCTTAAGCATTATAGAGTACCAAACTAAAAAAGCCACATAATACTGAAATCACATTGTGCCTTATGCTTGTGATCGGTGCTGGGAGGAAGCTAAAGGATATGGGAGGGACAAAGTGACTCACAACACAACCGCCGTTGAGGTCGGCTCCTCGCCACGTCAGCTAGTGCATTCAATTAAACGTGTTCATCGTCCTTCGGACCCCAGCCCAGCAGCCGGGAAACACTAACCGACGCTAAGTTCTAAGTGAAGGACGTCGTTCTTCTTGACCAAGTCATTGCTTAGAACACGTCCTTAGGAACAGTTATATTCACTTTGCAGCTATCGCACATCACTGCGTGATTTTTGATGAATGGGGCTGGGTAACCGCTTTCCTGCAGCGTTTTGAGAATGCGGATCTTTTCAGCCGAAGTATGTAATCATTATCAGCACAGCGCTTAGTAAGTACGCTGCTTCTGATTCAGTTTGCTAACCCAGGCCACTAATACTGCCATTGTGGCACGTGTGCTACATCATCGCTTCATTTGGTCTATACTGTACACGCATATTGGGTTTCTTGCATTTCAGGACTTGATTAATGATTTATATCCCCGGTGTGGATGCGCTTGTTGTGAAAATTGACAACGTTCCTACCTGTCTGATACCCTTCAATTCGCTTACTGACAGTTGGTCGTCAGAAAAGAAAGTCAGCAGTACGCTGGCAGGCTGTACCGACCACCACCAGTCGCGCGTGGACTGAGTATACCGCGAGCACGCTCACCCCTACGTGGATTCGAACCGGTGACCCAAAGATAGCCAGCCATGCGTCCAGTCCTTTCGGCCACCGACCGACAGTTGGTCGTTGCTGGGGAGGGACCTGGTACACTGTCTTCGTGATGTGCTAGATTCAAAGGCTGGTTCCATGCGTCCATTGTAGAGCAAACTACGGCCCAGCCACCAGCTTGTGTACGTTTTCTTACGCATGATTCCCAAATTAGATGGACAGGAATGCTACTGTTGTGCATGTTGATGAAATCTGGCTCCCATCCACCTGCCTTCCGGATTTATTCCCTCGGGTTTACACTGGATATGAGGCGTGTGAATAGAGCTGTAAGGAGTGAAGCGCAAGTCATCCATGTTCCATCTGTTGGCGCAGGCGTCCTGTGGTTATCCGTTACAATCATTTTTGTGTGATTTGATATTAAAAGTCAAAGTGGAAGTTTTCTGTATTGTTTAATTTTGTACCCATCTGTGTCTGTTGCCGCATCTGCGAATTACTAGTTCGTTCTCTATCCGACGATTCATTTTTGTTGGAGAGGTGGGACTTATAAGCGTCTTTGAAACCGGTTAGAGATTAATCTCCGACCCGGCTTCAGATGCAATTAAATCTTTTGAAACTGACAGCTCATTATCTGTCTCATGCCTAGGCGTTTTTTTACCTGAGCAGCCTAACCAATTCGCACAGAGTTTTAAACATAAGTTGTTAACCTGTAGATAACTTCTTTTGGAAATCTCCTTTACTTCGGGCTTACTCTGTCACCTGGGCGAAACATTTTACCTACTATTTTCTTAAGGTTAGTTATTTTCTCATAGCCTTTTTCATAATGTTCTCCGACTTCTGTTATGCGGTCCAACCCTCTTCCCACTTCACTTCTCCTCTAGCCTTAAATCGTCCCAACACCTCCGACAATGATATAGAGCAAGTCGTCGCCTCTGCTGTCGATGGACTGTTTTCAGTCTTTGCCACTCTTGGCACTGTGCCCATCATTCGGTGTTCTTGTCGTGACGCTGCTGAAATGGTCGCCACGCGCTTGGTATCTAAACTTCGGGACAGTTTACGTGATTCCCGAAATTCCTTGTTTGTCAATTCAGATGCATCACGAGCGTATGGGTTGGGCGGTGGCACTAATGACCATGTTGGCCCTCCTCTGAATGACAACCAGGGAGGTAATCAACTGCCAGGCTCAACTCGGAGTTTCAGCTTCGCTAATCTTTTCCAAAGACCTCTACTTGTCCTTTTGGATAGGAACTTGGATTTAGCCACTCCATTGCATCACGAATTAACCTATCAAAGCCTTGTACATGATATATTCGTAAGTCCACTGTTTTTGATCTGCTACAGTTCAGATTATAAGAGCCCCTTTTATTTTCTGCCCTAAAATTGTTACTAGCCTGATTTTTTGATTCCTCTTTTATCCGTGGTCACTTTGTATTCCGTGCACCTTCTCTTCATTCCGTTCGCCGGCTTCTTGGAGCGATCTATCTTACTATTCGTTGTATTCCTTAGATCGCCGGCCGGTGTCCGAGTGGTCTGTGCGCCTGATTTGCAACCTTAAGGTCACCTGTTCGAATCCGCTTAGAGATGGGCCTCCTCGCGGTATACTCGGCCCGTACGCGACTGGTGGCCGCGTGACACCATAGTGCCGTTACGGCGTAAAGCTGATGATGATTATATTATTGTTATTGTTCCTTAGAGCCCATTGAGAATGAGCGAAACGTTAACTGATTGTGTGTGTGTGTGTGTGTGTGAGTTCAGCAGTCTAACAACTAGACACAGAGCCAACTTAAAACCATGGAGATCAGAGGATAAAGGACAGTCATCGCGTCATAATCATCGTGGCATAGTAGTTGAAGGTGAGCAACACACTTCAGCTAATATGCCGCAGAAAGAAAGGAACCTTTTTAACAAAATTAGAACAAAGCATTTTTCGTTTATTTTTCACACGCCGTTTTTTCTCTTTTTGTCATTTTTAATGTTTGTAGTATTAAACATGTGAATCAATACAATACTGTACACAATTCTTCCACTGATTCCGGTTGCGGGCCATGTCTTCAATACTGTTAAGCCATTGGCACTCCTCATCTTTGGGTTCCCATCCTGGAAAACGTACGGATCCAACAGCGGCTAGACAGGACGTCAGCGATTTCATGTGCTGTCGCCAAGTGGCAGGCTGACCACCACACGTTCGCCTCCAGCCAGGTCCTTGACCAGCGGTAGACGCTCAGGTGCTATGTGTAGGACGTGACGGAGCCATCTCAGCTGGCGCAGCAAAACCAGTTTGTTGAAGGGAATATTCGCATTCCCCAAGATGTGACGTTGAACGTCATTACTATTAATTCGATGTTGCCACCAAACACGGGTAATCCTCTTTAAGCAACTATTATCGAAGGCAGAAAGACGGCCCATGTCTTCCAAGCGAATCCGCCAGGACTCGCACCCATACAACAATGCTGAGAGAACTGATGCGCTGTAAACGCGGCTCTTTAGCGAGAATGATACGTCGCGACGACGCCACAACTGCCTCAGATTGACAATCGCTGATCGAGCTTTAGCGATGCGAAGGGAAACTTTTGTTAATAGTGCCATCAGCAGAAACACAGCTCCCAAGGTAGACGAAACTATCTACCTTCGAGAGTGAGCACCGGAGCAGGTGAAAGCCAATCCTTGAGCAATACTTGACACTTCGATGGGACGAAGCTCATGCCATACTTAGATGCTTCAACCGCCAAACGATCCAGAATGAGTTGCATACTCTGAGGATCGTCACCAAGTAAGGCGATATCATCAGCATAATCTAAGTCGGTCGCGCGCTTACCCGATAGCAGCTCTAAGCCAAAATGTTGGAAACCTTCTAGAGCATTCGACAGAACGTCTTCGATTGCGATGTTGAAGAGAAATAGGGACATAGGGCAACCCTGTCACACACCGGTATTGACAGTGAATTGCGAGGAAAGTTTGCCATAGACCCTCACTCTGCCGGATGTATGAAGGTTAAGTGCTCGTAAGATGGCGGTATATTTCTTTTGAACCCCGTTTTTTAGCAAGCAACGCCATAAAGCAGATCGAACTGATGTATCCTAATGCCTCTGATGACACCGCACCTTTACTCGGCACAGGACGTTTTCTCTCTTAATACCTAACAGCCAACCATAGTTCTCGAGTAGTAACTCGAGCCCATGGTAACTTGACAGGCGCTCCAAATTTGGCACTGTTTGTACTCCTTCTCTTATTTCTATACATTCCATATAGAACACAGATATCCTGCGGCACAGAAGATTACTATTCTCTTTTGTTACAATTGTTACTTTTGTAAACACGAAACAGTTTCATTTCCTCTGTTTGCTTCGTAGGGTTCTACGCCCTCTCTGCAATGCGCTTTTGTCGACATCGAGCACTAACCTCTTAACCGTAACATTTGCCTCACTTATCCGGCGGTAGCCAACGTTGGTTCCATTTGATTACGCATACGTGACCGTTACTGCGGAGATCATTGCCTTTGCGCTTTATCTCGAAGCACATTGCGTTTACCGACCACTTTGGGATGATGTTGTGCACCAATTACTTGACACTCATCAGCCGGTTTAACAAATTCCGCTAAAGAACCGGCGTCCTTCTAATTCACTCCAAAGGTTCCCGTTGTATATGGGCAATCTCGCCGACGTAGCTACTGTGTCGAATGAGGTCGTTCCGACTCCATAAAATCAGCGCTCGCGAATTTTTCCCTCTCTTGATCTAAGTACCTCATAACGCACGTGTACATCTGCCTGTTTACGAAATCACCATTCAGGTTTGCTTTTTCTTACTTGCACACATCTTTTTGATGCTCTCGCATGGCACCCAGAGTTTTTGTTGGTGTAAATTAGACTTAAACCCGAGGCAGCAAGCTCTCCGTAAACCGGAATTTGTCTATGGGTTGCAATTGAGAACGTGAAACGGAACAAACTGCATTGTACAAAAGACAAAATGTGTACTGGGCTACAAACACCCACTCACATGGTTTCGGAACACCATGTCTCTACTGGCCGGCCCCTTTTGGTCTCGGTGTTATAACAAAATTACTCCTGTCTACTTTTCCATATAGCCAAATATACTTTCACCTAATATGTCCATGGTGCGGCTGTTGTTTGTAACTCTTGTACGGTCCTGCGTTCATTTCACTAATGTACTCTCCCTGTCCAATGGCATTCAAGTCAGTTCCAACCCCTGACAAACAATTATTATCTATTTCTAGCTCATTCGTGGTTTGAATGAAAAGTGCTGAGCCTCAATAAGCCAGGCGAGATACAGAGTCTTCGATGCTTTTGTTTTTTAATATAATCACCCACAAGCGCAGCTCACTTGCTCCAGCGGTGCTGAAGCGCTTTTATCCCACTGGAAAAGAACTCTTCAGATTACGACTCTAAAAACGCTTTGCGGCCTTCATGACGTCACTGTCGTTACGGAAACGTTTGCCAGCTAAAGCTATTTTCAGGTTTGGAAATAGGTGGAAGTCAGTGGGATCCCGATCTGCTGGATAGAGCTGATGGAGAAGAAGCTGAAAGCAACAATCGTGGATTGTTTTCTGAGCACTGGAAGTGGTGTGGGCTGGAGCAGTCGTTGTGTTAGCTGACTCCTCTCTTCGTCATTCCTGACCTCTTTTCTCGAATTTTTTCTGAGACGTTCAGAAGCTCACAGTAATACTTTCAGATGATGCTATGACCTCTTTCAAGGAAATCGATCAGCTGGCATTTTTTTATTATTTCATCACACCTTGGCAATTCAAAAAAACGAATGTCATCACCTTTCCAGGTGACGGTGTGACCTTGACCTTCTTTGGCGTAGGAGATGATGCACGCTTCCGCTGCTTTGCTTGTTCTTTTCTTTATGCCCGAAATTGGTGAACCCGGCACTCATCCATAGTAATGAATCGTGCTAGGAAATCATTGACATCCGCCTCAAACAGTGCCATATTCTTCTTTGACATCAAGTCGAATGCGCTCCTGCTCAGAAGTCAGAAGACTTCGTGCCCATCGAGCTGAAACTTTTGAATAGACTAGCTCCTGGGATATTCCCAACTTCTTTGTTACCTGACATGCTGTTAATCGGCGATCTTGCGTGACCATATCCATTACTAGACCAAGATTTTCTTTGGTGGTGGCGGTTGATGGTCTCCCTGCCCTGGGCTCATCTTCAATACTCTCCCTGCCGCACTTAAACGTTTAACTATGGCATATGAAGGGGCATTGTCACGTAATGTATTGAGCATTCTCGTTGGATTTTAGCTTGTGACATTCCTTTGAGATGGAAACATTTTATCACTACACGATGCTCCATTTTCACTAAATTGCAGGGCTTGTTTAATTTAAGAATCTGCTGAAATGTAAGTAAAAGATGTACCAATATGGATTTGCATTAAATGAACAAGGAAAAGTGGTAGATTATGCAAGAGGTTATTTGGCTTGATTGGCTATCTGATTTCTGTACCAGGCTTAAAACTTCATTCAATTGACATACAATGTTGGTATTCTTATTGTATTCCGTCACTCGTGTTAAGGGCACTATTCTCGATATTGACTACAATTCGTTGCCCCCAATCTGGCGTTTATAGCTGATCCTTCGTTTTTCGTCCAAATTACGACGGCCCTTAGGTCAGAAGTTCTCTGAAGCTGTACATTCACGAGTATTGGGCACACACAACGAGCAGCAAACGAAACAAAACGCCCATCACATGATGTAAACGTTTTGCCTCAATTTTACAACCTTATCGCATACTGACGCCATACTTAGCTTTTTGGTTCAATCATTTTTTTCCAGAACATTCATCTGAATCGCATACAAGTGGATCTCAGCCTAACCAAAGAGGTTGCTCAGGCTACTGATAACAAATCGTCAAAGTCACCATTGTCTAAGAAAACAGGCAAGCTAGAACAGTACTACTTGAACTCTGCTTCCGATCGATTGTGGCGCGAATTCAGGGGAGCAGCATTCTCCGATGTGGCTGAGGCGATCCGGGAAGAGGTTAATCTTCTGCGCGATTACGAAAAACATATGGGCGAGCTAAAGACTTCGATGGGTCTGTCTGGAGACCTAAGTGGAGTGGATGAATCTACATTGACTTTGTTGGACGACCAAACTTCTCGGCTTTCCACTGCCATAAGGTGTGTTCCTAATTTCCAACTCGGGTCTTTTTTCTTATGCAAGTTATGTAGGGACGTCTTGCCACTCGCCATCTTATCTTTTTCATCTAATACTGCAATGGGGATTGTTCTCCTTGCTTAGCTCGCACGTGGTCGACCCCAATCGCCCCACTTTATCCTTACTTACTCGCTTAACTTCGTTTGGCTCGTACTATTCGCAGCTCTGTTCCTTGCTATCAGTGGGAACAGTCCATAGTTTTTACCGAAAGGGGATTGTTCATATGGGAAAGAGAACGACGCTGCGCGTTCCGATGTTTTAGCTGGGGACACTGAACGGAAGTTCCACAAAGAACCTGATTGAATCACATCGAAAAGGGTTCTTATTTCTTGGCCAGATTTTTCTCAGGAATACGATCTCAAGCGAAGTCACATCAATATACTCCAACATTTCTTGCCGTCAGCTTATCTTGATACCCAATGCGTCCAGGCAGTTTCAATTAATTAACGTGTTTTGATGCACAGGTGATCAGCGGATGTGATGTTCATTGGTTTATGGTTCTTCATCATTGCCAGAATGTTTTGTTCCACATAGCAACCGATAAAATTGCCAGTTCGTATACTGGTTCGACCGCATTTTACTAGTGATAATCGAGAGTTAGCCAAAGTCATCAGCAGTACGGCGGCACACTGTACCCACGCTTGGCTGCCACGCGACCACCACCAGTCGCGCGAGCACTGATTATACCGCGAGGTTGCCCACGCCTACGCGGATTCAGACCGGTGACCTCCGGAGTACAGTGCAGGTGCGCAATGTTTTCGGCCATCAGCCGACGGATAGTCGAGGGCTACTCGTCGTTTGGGGTCTTGGCATTCGCTAAAATCCCCGAAATATTGGAACCTCATTTCTGTAATATCTGCCATTCTAAGGGATTCAGTGCTTGGCTCTTTCTGTATTGTTTAGGAACATTCAAGCTTGGGCGAGATTCGGTTTTCCAGTAACTCGTTATTTTCTGTATATCGATCCAACAATGAATGAAATGTGTGACATTTTGCCGCTCATCAGAGTGGTTGGTGTATCTGTTTTCTTTTTATCATTGGGACTGCTGATAGCGTTTCGCTTCGGCGCAGCTACTAGGATTAGATTATGAGTTTGGTTGTCCGAACGATGCACACCTCGGGGACGGTAGTACAGCAAACAGGTGTAATCATCTGAATCTAATGGAACCTTCAGCAATAAGGTGATGGTTGGGGTTGTCTGCTTTGGTATCTTGTGTCTGGTTCGCATTTACCGGGACACGATATTGTTTAGTCATTACTTTTTCGACGGATTTTGTTGCTTGACTGAATCACTGGGAATGCTGATCTTCAGCAATCCGAAAATTCCCATTTAATCGAATGAATCAAGGGAGGCAGAATCTGAGTAAAGAATTCTTTTCGGTAATTCTCATCAAATTCTAACATTTACATAATGATGACAAAGATGCTAAATGTGTGCCGGATTGGGCTGCGTATTGATCAGCTTTCGCCTGTGCATAATTTGACATCCTCAGTGACCCCATGATTTATTGATTTGCTCCTGTTGCAATTAAACATTGTGATCAATACGCAGCCTGATCCGGCATAGTTAGCATTTTGTCGTCATCATGTAATGTTTGAGTCTGATGAGAATTACCGAAAAGAATTCTTTACTCAGATTCTGCCTCCCTTGATTCATTCTATTAAATGGGATTTTGCTGCTTTTGGCCGGTCGACCAATTTCTACAACTTCACTGTATCCTTCACACTAATGTGTGACGATTCATCTCATCCTATGTGTTTGTTAACATCCTGTGTTTGGCATATTCTTTTAATCGTCATATCCCCGATCATACATCCAATCGATACGTATTCTGTCCGCTGAACGCTTCCACCCCGTTTCGCCGTATCTTACTTGCACACATGTACTCAGCTCTTCAGCCTGACATATTCACAACAGTTCTTATTTTTGTACTGGATTACGCTCATCATTTATTCGACTTACCTGCCCGATAAGGCTCATCACAGTCATTTCCAGCGTTACAACTCTTGTGAAAACGTTTCGTGGCTCTAAGGAGACCCAACTCCGATAGTTATTCAACTACATCACCATCAAACTGGATCTTAACCTAGTGCAATGCTCTTCGTGGCTCCGTGACTTTTTGAACCACCTTGGGTGGCACTTTCGAAGTGCCTTCAGATCCGCTCATACCAGACAAGTCAATGGTTATGGCTCACACTAACTCAGTCTTACAAGCCTCTTCCGTGATTAGGAAGTGGTCGATGGCTATCTTACTTTAAAGTCTAGCCATGGAAGACACCAGGTTTATGGGTTACAAGCTCAGCCTGATTGATGTAGCGCACGAGTGTCACACATTGTCTCTGAAACTGGAGGGCACCTTCCGGTGCTCAATAGTTTGCTACCGCCTGACTCTACTCAAGCAGATCCCGGTTAAATTGCTGAAATCCCGACAACTCCTACCTGCGGCTGACCGTGGTCGCAGGTTTGTAACACACTATAGTCGTAAAACGTATTTGCACTTTTATAAATCTTCGCAGGCTATGTGTGATAAACATCGAGCGAACCCCAATCGGTCTCTGTACTCACTCTCGAATTGAACTTGCTCTCCACCGCCTTATGGATCAATTTATTGAGCCAAAGACTTCGAGTGGTGTTCATCATGCGAACTTCCATATTCCCCAGTGCCTTGTGACTCAGGCTGCTGAATCAAAGGCCAGAGGTAAGACACCTCGAGCAAAACCCCTTTCTTGGAATGGGCAGTCGGAGAGCACCACCTGGCCTGTTGACACCGTCGACAATTCTCCATGTTCTTCCTGTTTTTCTCTCCCGTATTCTTCTCGTCCGTTAAGCAAGAGGCTACCACTGACCTCGTGCCTGCTGCCATCGATATATGTAGCTCGTCCATCAAAACTGGAATCTCATTTTAGATTGGTTCCTTTAGCGTCCGAATCCTGGGTCAGCTCGGTCAGTAGACAGCACCAACTCTCACGCTTCACTCGCTTGGTACTCATGTGTACTGTGTCTCCGAAATACTGATACAAGATATCAGCTTTTTGACGAATGTTCAACTCCCTGGTTCTGAATCGAACGACAATAACTGCACTCTTCGCGTCTCTGGTGAAGATAATTCAATGGCCCAAGATATTTACGGCGTTGGTATTGCCCTCAGCAAACATGCTGAAGTAGTCTACTCGATTGGATACCGATGAACAGCCGCGTGTGTGCAGTTCGACTCCGAACATGTATTGGGGTTAATAAGCAATGGAAGAAGACAAGGTGTCTTTTTATCGCTTCTGTTTCTGCCCCTACTGACTGCAGTTTTGAGGGTATGAAGTACGATTTCTATCGTCAGCTTCCATCCCTTCTCTGTATAGCGAAAAATGCTGTTTCTGTGATTGTTTCTGGTGACATGAATGCCAAAATTGGTCTGCTTTCGGACCTTGAATAGCATCCAGAAAGCAGCTTCGTGGTTAATGCTCACCGAACGGACAGCGGTAATGGATTACTGCAACAATGCACCAACCACAATATTTATCTTAACAACACTAGTTTCCAGCACAAACGTTCACATCACGTCACCTGGCAACCACCGAATTCCTCTATGATCTGGACCCAAATTGACCATATTGCCGTCAGATCTAGGTGGCGCACATCAGCCCAAGACAGCTGGTGCATTTGGAGCAAGTGCAAGTGCTCAAGTGTGCCCGGTCCGTCACCTTAAGGATCACAAACCTGCCTTGTAATCCGAGGGCGTGGGTTCGAGCCTGCGTAGGTACCGGACGACCATCGCAGTATCCTTAGGCCACGTGCGACTGGTGGTGGTTGCGCGCCAGCGACGCGCCGGTACTCTTTATCGGCGTATTGCTGATGCCTAGTGCGCACACGATTGGCGCTCACTCTTCCTGCTTCAGAAGTGCCTAACTTCTGAATTCCTCGCTTGTAACTTGAACTCGCAATTCAACGGCATCATAACGAATTAACCCACCAATTGTCAGTGATGAATGAGGTTAATGAATACTGAATATAGTTAGCTAAAGTGCATATATCTGTGTTGCTCCATCTTAGTTAGATCGGGCACATGCGCTTAATCTCGTCACTGATTCTTGCACGTTTACTGCATATTGCAGATGCGCCTTATGCTAATCGGATACGATGCGCTCCCTAAAGCCGAAATCCGTTAATTGTGTGTCTAGGAATTGCTCGAATTTCGACACCGATTTTCTATCGACAATTTTTGCAGACAAACTGTTCCAATATTTCTCCGCTGGGCGCTGGAAGTACAGAAAGTGAGGTATCCGCATTAGGTCCGGTACCACTAGCTTGTACCGGTGCCCGCGAGTACGATTATATATATATATATATATATATATATATATATATATATATATATATATATATATATACACTCTTCAACACTTCACCAATTACATTACCATTGGCTGAGTGCCACAATACATGAAAAAATTAGACTAAAATAGAAAACGATAGTTGGTGAAGAAGAGTTTCACAAGTGAGCCATTGCGTACGGTCCTTGGCCATATGCAATAGCGTTAACAGCCAGATATGCTCGGGATCCTTTGGTCCTCAGTCCCGGAGCCGGGAACGCCCAACAACAGCCAGCTTCAACGTTTGCGCCTTAACGCATTGGATCCAAGTTTTACACTGGCCACCTTATGGTCGCTTCCATCCCACGCCTGCGCTCGCAAATAGTGCATGTCGTGGTAACCGCTGAGTAAGCATGCGTATCACATGCCCGTGCCAGCGAAGCCTCCGCAGGGAAATGCTGCTATCAATCGGTCAACGGAGTTTGTCACATTTGAAGACTCCCTAACCGACATTCCCACTACTGATGTGACGCTGCCATTGAACACCAGCAATGCTTCGCACGCAGCGGTGATCGAAGACTGTTAGCCACTGTGCATCACTTCTGCGGACAGGCCAAGTCTCGCAGTCGTACAACAAAAGCACTCGTACCGCAGCATTG